CATTGAAATAAGTTTTTACATTTCTAGTTCATTCCTAGAATATGTAAAAATTTCTTCTGGTGACAGTTCTGAGATTTCCTTATAGTTGTGGGATCAATGGTGATAAGGTTTTTTTGTTAGCCATCTCTCCATCATTCTCTAGCTTGTCTGATCATTCTTTGTCATCAGAAAAAGCAGGTCACTAAATATTTAAATCAAAACTTGATGATTGCCATTGATGAGAAATCCAGTATAATAAATAATGAAACATTAAATATGAAAGCAAGGTTGCTAAAAATTGTTAGTGATGTTTTGATATTGAGAATTATCTAGTTAACAAGATGATTAAATGAACCTTCAGAGTTTATTATTTCTCTACAGCATATTTTACAATTTTTATTCAGTGAGTTTATGCTCGAAGTTTGAAATTGTCCGTCTTCACACTTTACTCTTCTTTCTTTTTGGTTTTGATAAATTGTTCCCTTATGTAAAAGCTCTCTTGATAAGTGGTGCCTGGATGCCAGAACTGACTTTATTATTTATTGTAGTCAGCCCAAGGATTGATGTGACAGTTTTGTTATTTATATAGTTTAATCCAAAATGAGAAATGTGGAAGTCAATTACAAGCATCTCTCATAATTCCAAAGAAGAACTCTTTTTAATTTCCCCTTTTTGTTTAGACATTTCTCTCGGTATTATATCGAAAACTTCTATATTGTAAACATATAATATAAAATCTAGTTCAAGAAAAAATGCCTGCTTTCCTGGCCTCTCATATTACAGACATCAGTTGGATTAGGGGGAAAAGTTATAGGAAACTTTTGAAAATTTGGAGGTAAATTAGGAAATGGGACAAAATGTCTTAATCATTGAACTTTTAATAGTGTATTGTGTTTGTCTTAATAATTAATTAATCCAACTTTATATTGCTTGAAGTACATTGCCCTTAAACCATGGGTTATGAAACTAGCTTGTAATAACAAACCACTGTTAGGATTTTAGATCACTTACTAATGGGAGTTGTTAGCTCTTAAATAATGGATGGTCAGTCTCTGATTGCTCTTCCTATAGCTTCCATTATACACAGAGAGTTCTGTTCATTTTACTTTAGTACTTAATTAATTTTCTTTAGAGCTGATGACCAGAAAGTTCCTTTACCTGGGGATGGCAGTGTAGAAATAACATTCTTCAGCAAGAATTTTGGAATGGTGAGAAAATCAGCCATGTGATTCTGCTGTGGATGGCTGCTTCCTATTAGCATTTACTGACATACAATATCAGTAAAATGTGACAGACTTTGTGGCTTCCAGAAGAACCATGATTGCCTCTTTCTTTCTTTTTTACTGATTTTGCATGTATTTTGTTATACAGTATTTTATTTTCAACATTCTGGTAATGAATTTTTATGCTTCTTTTCATTCCAACCCCTCCTATCTTCTCACAGATATAACCCCTCATAACTCTAGTAGTATAGTATTATACAAAATCTCATAAGGTTAAAACTTTTTTATTAAGGATCAAACAAAAATCATACAAGCACTCCTTCTCTTCCTACTCATTAAAATCTAATTTTGACCCAATCCTCATTTAAATAGTCACTTTCCAGACGATTCCCTCTGACCTTTAGAAGGTTTTTCTTGTTCATGGGCCTGATACCCAGAAATATCTCTCCATTCCCTTTATAGGAAGAAAAATCTGTGACCATACAGATGGGGCTTGGTCTATACTGACAATTGTGATTCAGCAACATTTGAAGAGTCATCTATTTCTTTACCTTGACCTAGAATATATTTTTTTCCTGCATTTTTGCTTGCTTACAATTATACTTATAACTGTTGTAAATTCAACACCTTTCTGTATTCAGTTGAATCACGTTGAGAGTGAACAAGGTCTGTGTCAACAGAGTCAAAAAGAAAAGAACAAACTAGGTTATAATGTGCTGAACACAGAGCCCTTGATCCTTTGCAAATACATAGTATGCACTTTACAAGGAGCATGTACTGAATTTCTCATAGTTCAATTAAACGATCATTAAAAAGGCTATAGTGATAATTGCTTCAGATCATTTCCAAACATCAATGGTTTTTTCAACTATTCCAAATAAAAAGAGAGATAAAGGTCTCAATTATTTGGCTTGCACATTTCCATGAATACTGAAGTGTATACAAAAGTATAATCAGTATTGCTTATTTTCAAAATGAGGGCCACAGACATTTTAAATTCCTCTATGGAATTTGGGGAAATTCCGGGGTTCTGAAATCTGAGAAATTACAAGCACATCCTTTATGTGTTTATTTCTGTAGCCAAATATTAACAAGCATAATAAATACCATGTTTCCCCAAAAATACAACCTACCATGGAAGTAAGTCCTAGCTTGATTTTTACACGTGTGCCCAACATAAACCCTACCCCCAAAATAAGCCAAGACATCACCCAGTCCAGGGTGCATGGGTAAAAACTAAGCTAGGGTGGGGATGAGGAGCTGGGAGCTGCCTTACTACTTACTTTCGGACAGTTGCAGCCAGGCCTTGCACACCCCAACACCTGCCTTACCGGCCCATTTCTTCTGCAGCTGGCAAGGCCAGCAAGGCTTTCCTGTTATCAGCTGTAGACGCCTTCAGGAAAGCCTTGATGGCCTTGCCAGCTACAGAAGAAGTTCTTGAAGGCCTCTTGACAGCGAAAAGGAGACCTGGGCCAACGTGCACAAATGAGGTGAGACAGTTTTTGTGTTTTCTCCAAAGTACTGTTATTTACATTAGAAATATATTTCCATGATTTCCAATTTGCAAGTTACTTCATCCCCTTCCCCTTTAACCTTAGACCAGGGTTGTCAAACTCATGGCCCACAGGTTGGATGTGTCAGAGGGTGACCATGCCTGTTTAGCGAAGAGGAGGAAAGTCATGATATGTCATGTGACGACAATGTGACTATGCGAGTTTGACACCGCTGCCTTATACCCTTTTCTGGTCAGGAAAATAAGTTTTTCACTTCTAGAATTTATTTGCTGAGCCAGCTAGCCATCTCTAAAAGCTATTTCTAAATACAATATGTATATTGGTAAATACCTCTTTGAATAGATTTAATAAAATAGAAATTTGAAAGTCTCTGCTTTTATATGACATGGTATTATTGCTGCATTTTCTTTAAAGAATGGTTAGGAGGAAACCCAAAGCCAGAGCTAATCTTGCTGCTTATTCACCTTAATCCAACAGTCTTTCCAAAGTGAACTCCCATTCAGCTATTTTTTTCTTAGTCAGGAAAAATAATTTAACTCTTTAGTAATAGTCACCCAATGCAATATTACTGGAATAATTTTGCTTGCATATTTCTGTGTCTCCTGCTTCTGGTTTTGTTTTTGTTTTAGATTGATGTTTACTGTCCATTTTGAGATGATTCAGTAAATAGGGTGGTACTTATAAATGTTAATACTTTTAAACAATAAAAAACATTTTATGACAAAATATAACATGTTAATTAAAGATTCTTCTATACATTCCATAAAGTTTGGTTGAATTTTCTTCTAATAATGTAAATAACCATTTAAGGATTATGATGCCAAATTTAATCTCCAGTAAACTTGGCACCGCCTGTACATAATTAGGGATTACTCTTAAACAAAGATTGAAGGTCTTTTCTTTAATTATTATCACAGTGGGAGTTGCAGGATTTGTGAGCTAGTGCTTCTCTTAAGCACTTCCATAGTAAATAATGAACTATGAAATTATTGACAACATTGCCAATTTGTATCTAGAGAGCCAATTTTGTCTAGTGGCTAAGGCATCCCTTAGGGGTGCAATCCAGAGGCTGCAGTTGGTCCAGAATGCGGCCGCGCAGGGGATTATGGGAGCGACGGGGCTCTCACATATAACACCTCTCCTGCGTGAGCTGCACTGGCTTCCTGTGGTCTTCCGGGTGCGCTTCAAGGTGTTGGTGACCACCTTTAAAGCGCTCCATGGCTTAGGGCCGGGGTATTTGCAAGACCGCCTTCTGCCGCCAACAGCCTCCCACCGACCGGTTCGCTCGCACAGAGAGGGCCTCCTCAGGGTGCCGTCGGCCAGACAGTGCCGGCTGGCGACTCCCAGGGGGAGAGCCTTCTCTGTGGCAGCATCTGCCCTCTGGAAATGACCTGCCCCCTGAGATACGCACGATATCAGACCTCCGGACTTTTCGTCGGACCCTGAAGACACACTTGTTCCATCTTGCTGGGCTGGCTTGATCCCATCCTCTCAGTTTTTAATCAAATTCGGTTTTAATTGGGTTGTTTTAAATTTGGGCCAAAATTATTTAATTGTTTTTTAAAATGTTTTTAAATTTTATATGCTATGTTTTATCCTGGCTGTACACCACCCTGAGTCTCACAGGAGAAGGGTGGTATAGAAATACAATAAAATAAAATAAATAAAATAAAATAAATCAGGCTTGAAAGGGGGAAACCCTGAGTTCAAGTCCTGCCTTATCCATGAAAGCCAGCCAGTCACTCTCTCATCTCAATCCAGTGATTGGGTGATTGTTGGGAGGAAAATGGGAGGTGAAAGCTATGCTTGCTGCCTTGAACTATTTGCAAAAGTAATAAAGGTAAAATACAAATAAATCCATAAAAATTAACCATATGTTTGAACAGATGTGGGTTTCCTTCTGATAGATTTCAAACGCTGATGAAAAAAACTTACTGTGAACATATTGTTGATAGCTTCTACTGTTCTCTATTTTCAGGCGGAAGATAGCTGAGTATAAAAATGTACATTTTCAAAGCAGCATTTGTGTGGGTTGAGGGGAGTGTTTGCCCATTATATCTTCACACATTTTTTTGCTGTGCATCAAGATAAGTGCTGAGCATTTCCTTTCTAAGAAACCTTTTTAATACTTTGATTGTGTACATGCACAAAAAGAATTAAATATTGATAGAAAGAAGAGCAAACGGTAAGATCACCTGGAAGTTTGATAGTTGTTTTTTTTAAAAAAATGTTTTTTATTTGTTCTCTCACTCTCTCTCTCTCTCTCTTTTATACCACATTGCAGATCTCGTCTTGCAGACTTTTTCACAAACTGCCAGCCTGAGTCACGGTCTGTTAGTAGCTGCCTGAAAGAAAACTATGCTGACTGCCTCCTTGCTTACTCAGGGCTTATTGGTAAGGCTTATTTTGGGAAAGGATCATTTTCTTAAATATTTAAAATTCTTGTTTTATGTCAACAGGAGAAAAGAATAATGAGGAAAAACAAAATGCATGGATAACTTGGAGACTCCACAAAAGAATTTGCATTCGCTATACATGACTATTTTTAAAATGAAAGTCCACTTATTTCCCCAAATTAAAAAACTCATACATAAGGAGGCTAAGATTGAAATGAACACAGATAGGAAAAAGGATGCCATGGGATAAGAAAAGCTTCTACAGAAGGAAAGACACTACATAGGCACACTACTTGCAAGAATTGTTTTTTATTCAACATTAGTTCAGGGTATATTGTCGCCGCCTAGCAATTCATTACTTTGGAAGTGACTACTTCAATTCATTCACATAATCTAACAAGGGAATATCACATAACTAGATCTTCTTTGAAAAATTGGATGAATTGTTTTATAAAATATAGGCCTACCTTTACCATTTTCTTCTGTAGCGTAGTTTTGTTCATAAAATAGAGACAATGTTATCTTCCTCTCAAAGTCATAGAATACCCCATTGCTTTGTGGAACTGCCTTCTGCAAACCGGACAATATCCAGAGGCAGAGACTATAATTCCCATAATTCTGATGCTTGCCATGCTGACTAAAAATCCTGAGACCTGAGGTCCATACTTTGCAAGGGATTTATATTTAGGAAGACCGTTTTAATGAATATGTCATGGAATTGCACAACAGGTGTCCTAATGAAGTTAGAGATCTTGTAGTTTTATATAAATAAATAAATATAATTTACATCTATATATACTACAAACAAGATAGTCAGGCAAACAGGAGCATCATCCAGTAAATCGCAGAGCATACAGGACATACAGAAGAAAAAAGTGGGACAAAAGGGAAAACTCCCCCCCCTCTGCTCACAACAACCAATCACAGAGCAGATTGTTCATGCAGGAGCCAGCAATCTCCATCCAATCAACTATAACGGTGTGTTTTGGCTAACTGCACAGCCCCACTGTTCCAGCTACTAAATTTAAATATATTAACAGAACACTTCTCATTAGCACAGCTTGCAAATACTCTTGGTGTGACTTGCCTTCATTTTAGGAGTTTCACCATCCATCAGAAGCTCACAGTGTAATGGGTCAACAACAACGGTGTTCTCCTCGCAACATTGGTTGTGTTATATGAAAAGCAAGTCTTTTCAACATTACAATGGCAGTGCACAGTAAAATATGCTCTTTTTTTGAGAGAGATATTAGTAGTATATAGGTCTTCAGAACACTTAATTGTGCAGAGACAATTTCCTGCCATCTCATATGAGAGAGAGGCTGGCTGAAAGCAATTATAGATTGCTTAGTCTGCAAAAAAGCCAGGACAATTGGTATTTCCACTCATGGGGGTGCCTGTATATATATTTGGCTGATACAATAGTTATGATCTTCCCTAGTTTTTGTAAAGTCCAGTGGGCAAACACAGACAGAGGCTTGTTTGCTCGAACTTAACTTTATTAACAAGAACACCAAACAAGAAACACCAATTATGGCAAGCAACAGAACGGAGCCTGACTCCTGACAGCCGCTTAAATAGTAAGCTGTCAGATGCGAGAACCAATGAGCGAGCAGCGATTTCCCTCCACTTAAGCTGCTCGCATCAGAACCAATCAACATAGCCCGGCAACAGCCGCGGCCACGTAGAGTCGTAACTATGGGAACTCAACGGTTTTCCTACTCAAACTAAGAGGATCAGGATTGGAAGGAATGATGCCCAGTTACAGTTTTTCTCCTTTCTGTACATAAATAGGAAAAATGATCAGAGTACATGTAACTAATATTAGCCTATATCTCTTTTTATATCAAGGTTTTGAATTTCCTTCAGTCAATTTGTATATAATTATTATTTCTTCTACTTTTTGAGTAAAGATAAATACATGGGATAAGTAATAAATTACAAGTTTCTCACTTGGTTCCCAGTCTTTCTGCTTGTAAAACAAATTCTTTGATGCAAAAATCATTATTTTCCTCATTATTTCACATATTGAACAGTTTGGCATATCTGTCATTTCCAACAAAGGCAAAAGTCTTTTAAGTTTCATTTCTTACATGATATTTAGTTCTATAATACCATCACTACTTCAGTGACTGTCTTTCGAAACAAGACCTTTGGTTTGATAAGAAATGTTTCATATATATGTATGTATGTTTGTATGTGAATGAATGAATGAAATATGGTGAGCAAATAACATAAAGGCTAGGTATTTATTTTGTTTCAAGTTCAGATTTTGCACCTGTCATGAAACATTTCTTGTTGCTTCTGGAAGGTGAGAAAACAGCAAATCAGATTCTGATGAAATATGATCTGAGAAAAACATAAGTAAAATAAAATATGCTTGTTCAGAAGAATAGGCAGATAGCAGGACAATAGAAAATACAGTGAAAACTTCAGAGTAACTGATAATTCAGAAGCCAGAAGCCATGACATTTAAATAGCCACTGAAAGTATCTAAATATGCTCAATATAATGGCATTTCTGTTTTCTCAACCAAACAATATGTCTTTTTGCATTTTTTTCCCCTCCAGAACCAGTAGCTATCAAAGAAATGCTGTCACACCATTGAATGTTGTCTCCTTCTTGGACCAAAGTATTAATTTAGGAAAACTTGCAATGTATGATAGCTTTGAAGAATCTCATGAATGATTTTTATGGGGGCAAATGCAAACAGATGGCTTAGTTAGCTACAGATAAAATAGACTTTTGTACAAAGAACTAGGCATCTTAGACATCATTCAATGAAATGATTATAAATGCTAGCTGCTGGTAGGAAATAGGTTTAATACTATGGTTAGGTCAGAATAACGACTTCTGGCAAATAGTCCCAGATATGATAACTTTTCCTGGAAGTTTTCTTGAAACTGTTCTTCAATTTAGCGTTACAATAATTATAGTGTTTACAGAGATACACGTTCACGTATTTTCCTTTTTTATTTTCTGTAGTAACTTTATTAAAGTTTAAACAAGAAAAATAAAAACTAACAGAAACTAAGAATTAGGAAAAGAAAGTGAAAAAGCAAAGAAAGAAAGAGAGAACAAAGCCAGAAGTGCACTTTCATTTTTCCATAGCCTTACACAATACCTTGTGTAAGGTATTACACAAATGCTAGAAAGATCACTGCAAAAACATCCTTTGGTCTCAAGTTCAGTAGAAAGGATCCTGAGGAACCAACATAAGTGGATATATGATTCTGAAGGGAAAACACATTCTCCTTTCTTACTTATAACAAGGATGAAAACAAGAGTTTTTGCTTTGTCTACTCTCATTACACTGAGAAACTTGCAGACCACACAAAAAAATTGTTTAAAAATATAAGTCTTTCAATTGTGTTTTTTGCAAACCAGACCAGCCATCAGTGTAGAATACTAAGTTAAATTGATTATTGTAATGTTATATATTAACAGTTTGGTTGCATTGCAACTGGCATTTTTATCACAGAGTGTTTTTGCCTATGTTTTGTCAATGAGATGGTTCTTTTCCGGAAGATGCCGTTTCAAAATACTTTCTATTTACTGAAATTACACATTCAAAAAGCTTATTATGGACTACAATTATTGTATTATGAAATTTAATATTATGTATTCCAGTTCAAATATTGGCAGTTATTCATGCCAAAATCGCCACAATTTGCTTGCATTTCTCTTTATCTTCAGTACTGTATTCTTTATCAGTCAATACACTCAGTTAGATTAACCATTGCTAACAAAATAAAGCTATACAGTCATATAAATGTTAAATGGCAAATTATCCATACACATTTTCCACAAATTAACCACAGTAAAACATTCCTTAATATTCTTCTAAATCAGAAGGGACCATGCTTCTTCTTTCCTCAGGAAAAGAGTTCTGGACTGATGGGATTATCCCCAAAAAGTCCCTTTCTGAAAACCATATGACTAAATATCCTTGCCCCTTGCCCCTTGTCACCAAAGAATAGTTGATAGAAGCCAGTGACCATCACCTTTCAAATTAAGCAAAACATATGACATATGTTTAAGAACTATATTGGTTCCAGGTGATAAATATCTAAGCCAGGGATGTTAATCTCAAGACCCGGGGGCCGGATCTGGCCCATGGGTACTTAGATCTGGCCCGCAGAGCTGCCCTGGAAACAGCAAAGGACCAGCCCGCGGTGCCTCTGCCAGTGAAAATGGGCTCCTCAGCTCTGTTTTTGACTGCAACCCTCCTGCAACCCTCTGCCAATGGAACCCAAGCTCCATTTTCACTGGCAGAGGGTTAAAGGAGGCCGTGGCAGCTGAAAACAGAGCTCACGAGCCCGTTTTCACTGGCAGAGGCACCGTGGGCCACCACAGGCTTTCCCGACAGGAGTGATGTCGACCTGGCCATGCCTACTCCGGCTCCCTGAGGTCAAAAACAACCCTGATGTGGCCCTCATTGAAATCGAGTTTGACAGCCCTGATCTAGGGTCTAGAAAAAAAGATTGTGGTCCCACAAGACAACTGTCTGTTCAACTTATTATCACTTGGCCACATTAGAAGCTAATGAGAAAAAAAACAATATTATTTGATTTGGGAAATACTGCTACAAATTCCAGATTTAACAGAAGCTTTTTCTTTGATTCCTTATCCTTCCACACATGTCAACAAACTGTGACCCATTGCTGCTTATTAGCTAACCTTGTGGGCAAATGTGTATGTCAACTGGATTACGTATATAGTTGTTTATTTATTGGGCTGCCCATCCCAAATTCATGACCCTGGGTAGGATAACAATCTTAAAATAAAATATAAAAACAAGAAAACAGCATGCAAAGAGAGAGCAGCTGAGGTAAAAAACAAACTCGTTCCTCTCAAATCAACATGACCAATGTACAGGCTCAGCCATACTTCCTGACTCCCAGGCCTTGTCACATATAATAATGATATATAGTATTGTAACCGTATAATGCTGTTAGTGTGGGATTGAGTATAATGCATCCCCCTTTGAAAAATTAAAATAGCTTCAACCAGGGTCATTTCTGTAAGCAGACTCTGGAAAAAGACATAGGTACTTCAACAATTTGAAAGGAAGTACTTTCTACATGTTTTCATATGATGTGAATCATCTCTTGCAAACAATTTGCATAATGAGGAGGAGGAAGAACAGGAAGTCTTCACCCTATCTTTTGTTTGTTTGTTTGTTTGTTTCATTTATTTATCTAATTTGTGTAACTGCCCATCTGACCAAATGTGACTCTGGATTGCATACAACAAAGATAAAAACAATGAATAAGTATATAAAATCACTATCACTATTAATGGCTTATTAACTTTTACTAACTATAAAAAACAAACAAGGAAATAACAGATGAAAGTAGTGTGTCACATATTTAGTTAAATAATCACTGGCCCCTGTATGTGTGTGAACACTTAATTCTTTGTTCTGATGTACACTGTGATGTTCAAAATGGGTCATCTGAATTATTAGTTTAATCAAACTAATGTGTGGTTTAAATTTGTGTGGATTAAGCAGCAATATTTCACTCTGTATTTTGTTCAACAGTGAATGATTTAACACATCCTGTTTGCTATATACCACGTGGGTTATAAAATCAATGTGGTGAGCTAGACCAGGTGTTCAAACACTTTGAAACTCCTCCAATTTTTTTCTTTTTAGGGATATGATTTTAAATACACACACACACAGAGAGAGAGAGTGAGAGAGAGAGAGAGAGAGAGAGAGAGAGAGAGAGAGAGAGAGAGAGAGTTTATTCTTACATTAATTGTTCTAGCCTGATTTATTTAATACCCCTTTGCATCTCCCATGCGAAGCATTTTCCATACTAGCTCTCTTTTGTTGTATTCATCAACTTCATTCTGTGTTTTTATTTGGAATATATTTATTTCTGATGATATAAATTGTGCCCTAGATACAATATTTAACTGTTATTGTTTCACTCATTTGAATGAGAGAACTTTATTAGCCTCTTTATTCCTGATTGTGGTATGCATGTGATATAAGGGTCATTCTTCAATTTATCTATCCTATTTATTTTGTTTGTTCGTCTGCATTCTTCCACCTGCAATTCATTAATTCAAAGCTCTGTTACTGAAGTTTGCCATGCTTCTGTAGACAGTAGGCAGTTATCATCACTAGAGTTGTTTGTCAGAATTGGCAAATGGATCCAGAGAGTAGGTTAGCCATTTTATTCAAAAGAGCAATTCAAGATCATGAAATTGGTGAGTATGCCCTTTTGTACATACATCTGATTCCCATTCATACTATGGCAACTATTAATTTCATTGGGATTCAGTTTTTTACACAATTTCAGCCAAGAGTCCTAGTGAATTAAATTATGCCTGTTATAAACCAGGATAATAGGGAACATATTGCTAATAGTGGTCAGTAATTTTGTCCTGAAATATATTTTTGTTTTTTCAAGAACTCAGAAAATGTTGTGAAACACAGATTTTTTCCTGTTTCCCAGTTTCACATTATATTTTTAATCTGAGTGTTTAACCATGCTATTAATACTACATGATTATTACTACTTCATCAGGGTTGCTGTTTAACTATGCTACTTTTTTCAAATATGAATATGTGTCACGAATAACATATCTATAGCTAAACTATTCTGAAGAAAGTTATTTCTCTTTTAGACTATAATTTCCAGAATTCCAAGGCAACGTGGTCAACAGCTGCATGTTACAGTCTATCACATCTGGACTGCATAATGTTGGAGAAAGCTGCTTTGCTGTTGCTCCAAATTTTTGAAATATTCCAATATGTCCATATATTCTGGGTTAACTATATATTCTATACTTTTAAAGGTGCAATTAAAGTACACTTTTCCCCTGTAGGGTTAAAAACAAGCACTTTTGTTAGTAATCATCAATATTTTAGATTCACAGGGTACTTTTTGTGATATTATAATTTTTATTTAAGATTACCTAGCCCTATTGGTTATTCTTCAAGACCACAAAATAAATGAAACTGAATAATGCTTTCCGTTACATTAGTACTAAATGATAAGTCTTTTTACTGTAAGCTGTTGTTCTATACTTAAAATAGTACTTTAATATATGAATAATAGCCAGTCTGAAGATTGAGATATTCTTCACTGATGGTATTAAAGCAGTTAGTGCTGGATTCATAGTGTCCTTCATAATCAATAAAGCCATATTTACCGCATACACAGACACACACAACCACACAGACACACACAGAAAAATACCTCCGAAGTTTTGAACTGAATATGACCAAAAGCTTGCTTATGCTTATACTGTAAACATACACTACTTCTGTCACTATACTATCCGTTCATACTTTTCTTCATTGTCTTGAACAATAAATAGATATAGCTTATCTGTTGGTAACAGATAAGCTATACAATTAAGAAAAAGAATACTAGGTTATTGAAAATCATATAGACAGCTCTCACTACTGGATTTCTATAGCCCAGCCTCAATATTTTATGCACTTATTGAAATAGAATGTCTTTCCTAGAATATTTTATTGTGTTCATATCTTTTGATACCATTCTAAATTAATTTATATATTTATATTTTCAATAGAGTATTCCTGAACAACTGTTTTTCCAGTACCTCTTTACTTTACTTCTTTACTGTCTCTTTATGCTACCATTATTATGTATGAATTATTATCTAAATAGTTATAACTTACCTAGCAATATCTACCTTTATAGAAATTTTAAATACTCAATTTCTTTGATGTTATGTATAATATTTGGTGGGGTGGAGAGATTGTGTATAGCAACAGAGCATTCATAGAACTGTATTTAAATATTTTGTTTTATATCTTTGAGTAGCCTTTTGGATTTATACAGTAAGGATTGACTGATTTAAAAAATGGTCACATAAAATGTTGTTTTTGATTTTTTTTTCAATAGGCACAGTTATGACACCAAATTATTTAAATTATAATAATCTCAGCGTTGCACCTTGGTGTGATTGCAGCAGCAGTGGCAATGACATAGAAGAATGTCTGAAATTTCTGAATTTCTTCCAGGATAATTCATGCCTTAGTGAGTACCTTTATGTTACCTTTATAACATGCCTTTATGTGCTATAAAATAATTCCAGGCCAACAGAGTCATGTACCCTGAAATTACAAATATGAGATCTATTTACACAACAAAGATGCAAGAACTCAGGGTCATTATTCCAAGGAGGCAAATACTCTCTAAAGATTAAAAAAAAATCTAAATCGTCCACAACATATTGTTGTTGCTCTTCCTTTTGAACAACTTTGAATACTTAACCACAACCGTACCCCAAAATTGATGTATTTAGATATCGTCTCAAATCTGCTTTCCCTGAACTTATTTTTTTAAGCTGTTTCTGCATGATATTAGATGTGTGCTTGCCATTGGTTAAGAAATACTGATAAGAGATTTCATGTATTTAGAAAGCCCATGCAAGAAAATTGATCCAGCCTGAATACCAAACAGGAAGATTTTAATATAGAATCTGTTTAAACATTTAATATAATATGTACATTTTAGTACAGCGTATTCTAAATGGTGATATGGTTTGACATTTGTTTCCCTGTTAAGTATGACATTATTAGGCTCTGCATTATCCTATTGTAGGAGAAGGAGTGGCAGAACCTGGAGGCGAAGTCAAAAGAGGAATCAGCCTAGTATCTCTACATAGCCAAGTCCAACCCTCCTTGAATCCCTTGCCTAGAGCAAAATAGTGCTAGCCATTAGTTGAATATAGACATGAGCAATAAATCAGTTTCGTTGAAACTTCATGTGTAATTCTGGTCTTTTGTGCCTGACCCATATCTCTTTATGTACAATAGTAAGATATTTTCAATATAATTGAAATCATCACCTTCTTTCAAGCTTATGCACTCAGATCTTCTCCTCTGGCATAGCATTCCATTTGAATGTTTGGTTACTATTTCCAACCAGCTTTTATTTAGAATCTTGTATAAAGTCACATGTAATCCTAAAACATAATTTGCTTTAATGCAAGAGAAAAAAAGCAGAGCCAGAGGGGGCAAAGTTAAGTGAGTCATCGGCGTAGAGTCACTATGTTTCCACAAAGGTCTAACTCCAACCCCTCTTCTGTTGACCGTTATTTACCTCCAATTTAGCTTTGAACATTAGTTGAATTAAATTTTTGTGTATAGACTTGATCAATAAATCTTCTTGACTACAACTTAACATTCGGTCCTGATTTTTTGCACCTGACATTTAGATGGTTGTTTCTATTTTGGTCTGTTATATGACTCCATCTTTTTGTCTTGGAGTTATGAGCTAGAAAATCATTGTGGCTTGTTCAGCATACCATAATTTAAAGCATCGAAATTAGCTAAACTAATTAGCATTAGTTTTTAATCAGGTTTAGAAACAAAGCAGGATCAGAAACCATTGTTTGTATTTGATATATTACAAACAATACTCCTTGATCCTGTATTGTTTCCTCAAACTATAGTTTAAACTAATCATGATGCCAGTATTGTGTTGGAAAACTACTATGAATAATTTCTACTTAAATTTTTACCCAGCACACTCCAGTCAGTCCCTATATCTAGACCAAAGCAAGCCCACAGAGCACTCAGTACATGTAGCAAAAGTATAGCTTGATGTTTATTGATTAAACATCAGAAAATAACAGAACAGTTACCTGGGAAAAATAGGAGAAATAGCAGGCAAAAAGCAGGGAGGAAAAAAAAGAAACAGACAACAGACAAGAATTTACATTATATTTCTATATCTATCAAAAGGCTTAAACATTTTAGACTCACTGGAAATGTAATTGTGGTTAATTAGTGTGGACAATCCAAAGGGGGTTGCCATAATCAATTTAGGTAAGATTAGAGCAACAGAATACACATGGAAAGTAAGATACTACTTCTTCTTTTCTTTTTTTTTTAATTTGATTTATATGCCGCCCTTCTCCGGAGACTCAGGGCGGCCTACAATGTGCTAAGCAATAGCCTTCATCCTTTTGTATATTTTATACAAAGTCAGCTTATTGCCCCACAACTGGGTCCTCAATTTACCTACCTTAGAAAGGATGGAAGGCTGAGTCAACCTTGAGCCTGGCGAGATTCGAACCTGCAGTAATTGCAGGCAGCTGGTCTTAATAACAGGGTGCTTTAGACCACTGTACTACCAAGGCTCCTAAGGTACTACCAAGGCTTCTATTCTGTATCATGAAAGAAACTATTTGACAGTGGTGATGAACTACAACATTTTGCACATTACAAGGTTTCTTTGTACCTATGCCAGAGTGGAGAATACTCATGAACTTAAATTTGCTATATGTAATGCTAGACTATTACTTTAAAACTCAGCTATTAATTCCAGGATGGGGAAAAAATATTACCCAGAAGCCATGGCCTTGAGTTGTGCATTTGAGATCTTCATCAAATGTAAAAAGCTAATTGAGAATTAGCTAATTGGTAGAAACATGGTTTAGGAATTTTCCATCTAAATTTGGTTAAATATCTATTTTTCTAATAAAAAAAAATAGTCTGTAGATTTTGAGAAGCTTCAGTTCCCATTGAACATTCTTAATTGCTTTAATATCTTGAAACTCAATTACCATTGGATAATTTTGAAAAGAAATACTACTTTTCTATTGTTCTTTTGCTTTTAGAATAAAAATGTTAATGAAGATAAAGCAAGGACATTAGAGGACAGTGTGAGGAAAAATTATATCTAACCTGGCAGAGACTTTTTCTTAGGAAGAAATTAAAGGTGTCCCTGTCTTAATAGCATTTCACTGAAGGGGATTAATGTTCCATTGCCTTTCTTGTTAATGGACTGACTTTTGTAAACCTTTATTTTAAATAAAAGATACAATTATCTTTAATATACAGAATGCCTTGTTCATACATAAAGTAGAGCTACACTTTTTTGAAATAATAGTTGAAAGATCATATTAGTCTGGTTCATGTAATAGAAAATCTCAACCCAAATGAATTCACTCATAACAGTGCAAAATATGAGAACCCAAAATATGACTCAGTTAATATGCGAAAAGGATGTATTGTATTAAAAAAACATGCAGTTGTGTTTGTATATTTGAGGTAGTTTGGGATTTTTAATTGGGAATCAATAACCAAAGACAGATGTGCATTTTTGATGCATAAATCCTTGCTCCAAAAGTTTTACTCTTCTTTATCAGAAATGTTCATTGAATTAGGCCAACAGCCACTTTCCTTCTGTTGTAAATATGGGCCAAATAACACATTCAGAATTATCATAATTATCATACAGGCAACTAGTTCAGAATCTCGGTAGAGATATTACATGTAAGACAGCAAGTGTCTAGGCAGTGATGCTTAAAAAGTGAATCATTCTCTGCACATTGAAACTTGAAGACTCAAAATATTAATTCTAACTTAGTGTCCTCACTGACGTGTTACTAATCTGATAGGAAGATGAGGTTTTTTCTTTCCAAATAATTTCCTATGAGTTAGAGGAATATAAATCATTTTATATTCTGAGAATAGAAGACACTTTGAAAACAAATGAATGGCTGAAGATGCAAATATTTGCAAATAGCATTGTGAGAATGTGCAAAATTTGCACTGTGCAAAAAAATAGTGCAAATAGCATGTTGAACTAGCATGTTCTAAAGATCAGCCTGAAGATTAGCCTTGTTTGAGAGGGACTATTTGCATCCTAAACTGAACTTTTTTTTGAATCCTTAATTTATCCTTTCCTTCCCTGTTCAGATAACTTTCCCTCATATATCCGCCTAGTTTTTTTCTTTACCAAAATACTTTTCTCTTGTTTTCACTTCATTCATCCTCTTTCCTGTACCTTTTCTTTATGTATGAAAGAAAAAAGCAAACATTTCTGAATTTAAATATGAAAGGTTTGTAAGTGAAACAGAATAATGTTAGTATGAGCTGATAGAAGATCTATTGATCATAGAAAGAAGCACAAGTATTGGATATTCAGTCAGTTGATTAAAAAGGAAGACATATATAGAAACACACAAATATGCACATATATGTCATTTTTTATCAATTAAATCCTAGCAGTTCTTCCTTCCAAACATGTATGTATGTGTGTGTGTGTGTGTGTATGTATGTAAACACACAGACATACAAGCTTGTCATATCCACACATTTTGGGGGAAGGTGAAACTGCTAGGATTTATTTCAACTGGCGTTAGTAAGCTTAGGTAGTATCTTGTACAGGATTTTTCTTCTGTGCTTATGTTATTTTTAATCTACTTCTTATTCAGAAAAGACTCTTAAATTCAGAATTTTTCACCCATTCATATAAATACAATAGTTATCTGTGTACTAGTGTTTTACCCCTTCCTTTTTTTTTTTTGAGATTTAGAATCTCTTTCAAATATGCTTTAGTCCCCAAAAGAGAACACTTCTCCCCATGCTAAAAAGATGTAGTTGCATTTTAAATAAAAGGATATTTAAACATGCATAGATAAAGCCTTTAGAATTTGCTCAATAGTATTTGAGTAATGCCATGCTAGTTTATTTGTTCAGGTTAACTAACTATAAACCCATTGTTATCATCTTTTAATTTTTCCTGGCTTCATTTTCATCTTTTGTGCAAGACATTAAAACTTTTAAATTTTTCCTGGCTTCATTTTCTCATTAACTGTCTGTACCTGAAGTCTATTTTCTACTTTTATTAGAATTTTTTGAAAAAGTTAAAATTAAGGTAATCTTTTCAAGGTAAGCAAAAGTAAAATGATTTATAATAAGCATTAGATACTCTGGAAGGAATGTGTTAATAGCTACCATACTCAGGTCTCCAGTGAAATTGTTTTTATTTCTTATACAATGAGTTTCAAATAAGAAATCTCCAAATCCATGCTGAGTCCCCAAAGACATGATTAAAATCTGTTTTTCTATTCATTTGTATTTATTTTTTAAAAGAAACACCAATTTATTCTTGCCATAATTGCAGTATTTAATCCCATGAAAAACTACACCTTTCAAGTTTTACATGTTCAGTATTGTGGCTGAACATATATTTCCAGCTAATTATGCACATTTTGTTTGAAGACTTGAAAGGGGGAAAAAGAAAAGTAACCAGTCAATTAATTAATTTAATGAATTTCCTATAAATAAATCAGCAAATTTGTCACTAATATTTTAACTCATGAACATACACTACATCATTGAACTGGTGAGTTTGTTTTCTTGTAAAATACCTGGAATATTTTTTTATGATACTATTATTCGCTATAGATTTGCAACTTCCAAAACTTGCATTCGTAACCTGTATTAGTATGAACTTGTTTATATCATAGAGTTAATAGCATTAGGTACTTTTACTCTATTAATTAAGATAGTTGACTCAATCTTCCATCCTTTATATTAGTTGTTTCATCCTTACAAGGTTGGTAAAATGAGGATCCAAATTGTTGGGAGCAATATGCTGACTCTATAAACGGCTTAGAGAATGCCGCAAAGCATTGTGAAATGATATACCAGTATATGTCTAAATGCTATTGCTATTATATGATATGTATTATTTATTTTAAAAATGTGCTGTATTACTTTTATGGTTTTCCTATTTATTTTGCTAAGTGGGATTTTCTATCCCTTAGTCTTGTCTCAGTAATACTATTGTTGTAAATGAACAGTTGAACACAACTATCACTTTCCACTTAGCTAAATGTCTATGGAGATTCTCAGTAATTCAGGTCATGGTTGCTCCAAAGGTGCTTTTTCAAGAGAGAACTGGACTTTATTGTTTTTCTTTAAAGATGTTTCACTTCTCATCCAAGAAGCTTCTTCAGCTCTAGTGGGGAATGGAAGGATTTATACTCCTTGCAGACAGCTGGTCACGTGCATTCTTTTAAAGAGTTGTTGAGGCCACTTGGAGGTTTATCTGTGTTCTCCGGGTCACCTGAGTAGTGCAAATGCGTTTGGAGCCTTCTGCAGGATGTTTTCTGCCCCGTGTCCCTTCACTATTGAACACAGGCACAGGTTGTTGGGGATGAGTCTGTGTTGTCTGCATCTTAAACTGAAGTGCAAATGGTTCCTGTAATATGCATTTTTTTTCTGGAAATCCATTCACACTCCTGCACCATGCAAACCATTCCCCACCATCCAGTCAGAGCTGAAGAAGCTTCTTGGATGACAAGCGAAACGTCTTCAAAGAAAAACAAGAAAGTCCAGTTGCCTCTTGAAAAGGCACCTTTGGGACATTTACCACTTAGTTGTAAACAGGTCAGTTTACAAAGAGACAGGCATGACAATCAACTGCTTCATAACTTGACTCAGACACCATGAATTGTAGTCCTTTCATTCTTGTTAATCCAAAAGAGTTTTTCTCTTTTATTAGTTTGGTTTTTTAGAACTATTTCTGTTTGTTTTAATCCGTTAAGCGGGGGAGGTGACATGGAAAAAGGAAAAGTCTGCTATTTGCTTATTTAAGAAATTGCTGTGGAATTTTTTTTTTTCTACAGAAAGTGCAATTCAGGCTTTTGGCAATGGTACAGATGTGAATGTGTGGCAACCGTTCCTACCTGTCCAAACCACCACAGCTTTAACTACAACAGCATACAGATCAAAGACCTATGACTCTGAGAATGCCAACAATGAAATACCTACTAATAATGATTTGCCAGCCTGTGCCAACATCAAGGTAAGAAATAACTGATAATTATTTAAAATCTGGGACGCAGAGAGGATTGATGAAGTGCATGTGCTTGCTAAATGTTCATGTATATCAAAAAATCCAAGCTTCCTTTTCTCTGTCTCATGCCATCTAACAATATATTGTTGGAATGATGAATCCAAAAGATTATGTTAAGCCAGTTAGTTCTGATTTTATAATACTGGAATCAAGTCGTTCCATAGAGCAGGATGGGTCGTTAACTGCAAGAAATTTAGAAATGAACTTGACAACCTCAATGGATGAGTTTCAGTCAGTGGCTGGATCATTAACTCATGTCATTGCTTTAGACATGATTCCTTTTAAAAATCCCATAATTGAACCATATATAAGAGGGGTGTCAAACTGGCGGCCTGTGGACTAGATGTGTCACGTGCATGCCACGTCCTACCCAGCTCTGCAAAGGTAAAAAACATTGCAATATGTCACGTGATGGCAACATGACGCCACAAGTTTGATACCCGTATTATATAGCATTAAACCATAAACAATTCATAATGGTAAGGGTCTACACATTGCACTGTGCTAAAAGAACCATAGTGTTTTATTGTTATGTGAGAATGATATCAATAATGCACAGTTCGGATCAATGGTACGTAGAAATTAAATGGTGGATTGTTAGCAAAATGGTGCAGAATATGGCCACGGGAGCAATTTTTGGCATCCCTGAGATGGTGTATATAACACCTTTGGTGCATGAGGTCTGCTGGATGCCAGTTTGCTTCCAGGTCCAATTCAAAGTGTCAGTTACAAGATGTCGGTTACTACCTTTAAAGCCTACATGTTTTAGACCAGATTATCTGAGGAACTGCCTTGCCCACATCACATTGACCTATCCCACCCACCATGTCAGGCAGGGAAAGAATTTTGACCAATGGAGTCTAGGAAGAGACCCTTCTCTGCTGTTGCCCCCCACCCTGTGAAACATCTTTCCTTAGAGATAGAATGACCTGGGTCTGCCAATTCCCATGGAAGTTGAAGAAAGACATGTAATCCTAGGGACATGCATTCTGAAGGTGTTCTGCAACCTTTTAATTTTCAACTTAGTTTTCTTTTTACTCTCCTGTCATTTTGCTGAACTTTATATATATCGTGTTTTATATGGTTTTGTGCTTTTTATCTGTAAGGCACCCAGAATAACTCTGAATGTAAGAAGGGTGTTATCTAAATTTGATAATTAAACAAATAGAAATAAATAAAATCCAGCAGGGTAGAGTGCCAAATATATATGTAAGAAACCGTTATGATGCACATTCCCTTTTTCTGTTGATTGTCTTGATTCAAAATTTTAGAATGTAATTCTTGAAATCTGTTTTATTCTTCTCTGTAAAGCATGCTCACAAACTGATTAGAATGAGATGGCTATCTTGTCAGACTGACCTTGAAAGCATGTATAATCTAGGCAGAAACAAAAATGTTAAAATATGACATATAATTTATTTTTATTACTGTGAGATACTATTTTGAATAGAGAAACATTTTCTAGGTGAAATTGGCTGCTGTAAAACCAAGTGGAAAAATCACTGGTATTTTAAGGGCAAAGTAGCGATAAAAATTCTGTAAAACACAAGCTTGCTGACTGCATTATGTCAGCGAAAGCTGGAAACTCAGAAGGATAAGTATAAATCTTTTCTACTAAGAAACCTTTACCCAATTTTCTAAATACTTTGATGTAATTTATTCTAAAAATAGGAATAGTGGTTCTGCATTCTTAATGCATCTTTTGGGAAGAGAAATAACTCTTTCAGATCGGTAATAGTGTCAGGAGTTAGTCATGAAAGTCTAAGCTTCTGCATTGATAGTGGGACAAATAAAGAACATGTTACTACTTCATTACACAAATACTGCAACTTGCATACTTACATCAATTGTCAGCTGCAAGTAAATTTAAGCTTGCATCTTGTCCACATATAATTTCATCATCGTAATGGTTTGTTGTGGATACCTTACAATGAAACAAAATATTTTTTCCAAGTGGATTGGGATACTTTGGTTCAACTTAAAATGGCTAAAAATAGCTACACTGGGTTTAAATTGCACCTTAGTTATGTTATAGCCCCATTTCTTACAGTGGCTTGTGTGAGGACAAACCACTGCTATGGCTCCTTTTCCCTGTAGAATTGTTCCTACTTAATAGTTTAAACATTTCCCAAGTTAAATGCGAAGAACTTGGAAAACCAGTTTTCTACAGAATGTCCTGCTATGTTGAAATGTAGGCAGAAGTTTCCTGGTTTCAAATAGAATGAACTCACTGAGGAGGTGAAAGCTGAAAGTCTTTATTAAGCATAGTTTAATAGAATAACTTTAATTGCAAAATATAATGTAGATAGGAAGTATCTACTACAGGCAAGGCAATAAAATAAACATGGCAACAGAAATGTGTAAGTGTAAATATAAGATGAAATTTAATATTCCTTTGGTAGATGGCAGTCCCTTTTCATCAAAAGCAGCAAAAGATGTTTTCCAGTTTAATCCAGCTGGTTTATAAGAAGTTTCCTCGATAAACTTACCATGAGGCTCACCTCATGTAAGTTTCTGAAAGCTTATATAATATCCTCCTGTGATTATTTATTCCTCTAATGGTGCATATTTATTGTTTATGCAGAGGAAACTATGGTGGCTTAGTGGTTAGAATGTAGTATTGTAGTATCTGCCCACTGCCAGGTATTCAATCCTGACTGATTAAGGTTGACTCAATCTTCCATCTTTCTGAGATCAATAAAATGAGGATCCAGATTGTTTGGGGCAATATGCTGACATTGTAAACTGCTTATGAGAGTGCTGTAAAGCACTGTGGGGCAGTATATAAGTATATTGCTATTGTTTATCCTCCTCCTCCGATAACTTTTTATAGTACCAAGAGTTTTCATATGAGATAGTATCAACTCCTAGATGATAGCAATAGCAATAGCACCTAGACTTACATACCACTTCACAGTGCTTTACAACCTGTCTAAGCAGTTTTACAGAGTCAGTCTATTGTCCTCAACAATCTGGGTCCTCCTTTTACCAATCTTGGAAGGATGGAAGGCTGAGTCAACCTTGAGCCGGTGAGAATCAAACTGCCAAACTGCTGGCAATAGGTGGTCAACAGAATTAGCCTGCAATACTGCATTCTAACCACTGCATTACCATGGCTGTAACCACTGTGCCACTATAGCATGATACTCTCCCTGTTAGGTTATTGGCCCTCACAAAGCAGTTCTAAGTGAAAGAAATAGGTTTCTTGAACTAAACTGCTTGAGAAACTGAAGGGGAGGTGGGTGACTGAGTGCTCAGCCACGTAGGCCAAAGCATCTTCTACAGGAAAAATGGAATAAACCACCTGTCAGGTTTGCCATTTATTATCATCTATAGATAAACATTGTTCTTGTTAGGGTAACATTCGGAAATTCTCAAGCTATAAAAACAAATGAAAAGAAGACCTCAAATACAAAACAGAACTGTCCTGTGTCTAAACATCCCTTCCTCTCTCCAGGTAATTCTGATCCTGACCATGTGAAAGCTACCAGATGTTGTCTGCCCTTGTAATGATTATCTGGATTTTTGCAGCCCAGATCTCTAAGCTCTACTGGGAGCTCTGGGCAGAATCAGAATTGCTGTGGGAGGGGGTATTTTGTATTAGTTCCTAGAGTAGCTTTATTCTACATTGACTGGGGAATTCTGGGAGTTGACATCCACACATGTTGGGGTTGAGAAACACAGCTGTAAGGCAATCAGGTGAACATTTTCCTTACTTTTCTTCGTTCCCTCCCCACTCCATCAGCAATAATGTTCATAGAAGTGACAACTTTTTGACTTTTCTGTTCTCCCTTGATCATAGCAAATAAAACAACACAGATTATCCAGAACATTGTGCCCTTTGTTTCAGACTATACACAATTTGCTCCCCTGTTCCCACTTCAGCAAAATACCTCCATCCCTTGCTGTTTCCTCTTTAAGCTCACCCACTTATGAATTACAAATCCATGAAGCTTCCTCACACCTGCTGTGAACTGAACCTCAGAGCCCCTTATGAATTTAAGCCAAAATGTCTGAAGAAATCCTGCACATTGTTTGATAATAACAATACTAATAAAAACATGGCTTTATTATAGCTACTTATGATCTCTAACATTAGGCATAGTCTGAACTCCTGCAATTTTCAGCAAGGCTCATGATGGAAACTCAACGCTAAGTGCTTCACTGCCCACTGTGAAGGCCTCTTAAGGCCTCCCTTGGAAACTAATCCTTTGGCCTTCCCATTTTTACACATATCCTTTTCTAAAGAAGCAAAAAGCTCTGAATTACCATGCCAGGTACTTATATGTGAGAAAGCTCATAGGTGTTTCCCATCACATATATTATTATTTAGGAATTGTGGCATGCAATCAATATCAATTCTCTGCAGTGCTCCACAGTATTATTTCTCCCATAAATGGAGTCATAAAACTTGAAACTTCAAATAGCTGTGATCTATTCAAATATATGCTTCATGTACCTGACCACATACGTATAGAGGCCACCTCAAGTAGGATGCATTCTTTGCAGGCATAGTTGTTTTGCAGGTTAGCAATGTTCTGATTAAATAGCCAGACAGTAAAAAAAGATTGTTAGGATACTTTTACTACGTTTTGCCTTGCTAACTGAAGACAGGAGTGATTAGAAGAGATGGATTCTGTAAAAACCCTGATATGCATCTTCCTGTGTTTGCAGTGAAAGCATGAGAAGGATACTCTGTCATTTCAATTTGTCTGTAGAATACTAGCCCTTGTAGACTCATGAGCATTTGACTTTCTAAAGAAGCTGAATGATCAAAGCTTTTTTTAAAAACTGCTACTCAGATACAAAAGCATTATTATTTGGCAAGCCTGCGTGAAATCCTAAGAAAGAGGGGGGAAATGAAGTCAATGATACATTAGGTAATGGACATGGTTGTCATATGTTTGGGTCCATTGTGCCCCACAAACATAGGACTTGCAAGTGTACAT